ATGAACCTTTAGCAAGACTCATCAAAAAAGGGCACAAATAAAATCATAAATGAAAGAGGAGAAATAACAACAAACACCACAGAAATAAAACAATTGTAACAGAGTATTATGAGAACCTATACGCCATCAAATTGGACAACTTAGAAGAAATGGATAAATTCCTAGAAATATAACCTATCAAAACTGAAGCAGGAAGAAATAGAAAATTTGAACAGACCAATTAGCAGCAATGAGATTGAAGCAGTAATCAAAAACTCCAAAAAAACAAAAGTCCAGGAATAGACAGCTTCACAGGCAAATTCTACCATTTAAAGAAGAGTTAATACCTATTCTTCTCAAATCATTCCTAAACATACAAGAGAAAGGAAAACTTCCAAATTCACCTCTATGAGGTATTACCCTGATACCAAAACCAGATAAAGACACCACAAAAAAAAAAAAAAAGAGAACCACAGGTCTATATCTCTCATGAAAACAGATGCAAAAATCCTCAACAATGTATTAGCAAACCAAATCCAACAATACATTAAAAAATCATACACCAGGATCAAGTGGGATTATTTCCAGGATGTAAGGGTGGTTCTTTATTTGCAAAACTATCAACATGATAAGATACATCAACAAGGTAAAGGATGAAAACTACATGATCATTTCAATAAATGCAGACAAAGTACAACATCAACTCCTGATTAAAAAAAAAAACCCTCTGCAAAGGAGGTCTAGAGAGCACATACCTCAACATAATAAAGGCCTTATATGAAAAACCCACAGCCAACACCATACTCAATGGTGAAAAACAGAGCTTTCCCTTAAGGTCGAAGCAAGACACTCTCATCACTTTTATTCAACACAGTACTGGAAGTCCTAGCAATAGCAAGTAGATGGCATAGTGAAATAAAACGCATCCAAATTGGTAAGGAAGGAATAAAACTCTCATTATCTGCAAATGACATGATACTAGATATAGAAAACCCTAAAGACTCCACCAAAAAATTACTAGAATTGATAAACGAGTTCAGTAAACCCACAGGATACAAAATCGATGTACAGCAATCCATCACATTCCTATACACTACTAATGAAGCAGCAGAAAGTGTTTTAAGAAAACCATCCAAGGGGCACATGGCTGGCTTAGTCAGTAAAGCATGCAGCTCCAGATCTCAGAGTCATGAGTTTAAGCCTGATGCTGGGTGTAGAGCTTACTTAAAAAAAAAAAGAAAGAAAACAAAAGAATCCCATTTACAATTACACCAAAAACAATAAAATATTTAGGAATAAACTTAACGAAAGAGGTGAAAGACCTGTATTGTGAAAACTATGAAACACTGATGAAAGAAATTCAAGACATTGCAAAGAAATGAAAAGACATTCCATGCTCACGGATTAGAAGAACAAATATTATTAAAATGTCTATGCTACCTGGGTGCCTGGGTGGCTCAGTTGGACAAGCATCTGCCTTCGGCTCAGGTCATGATCCCAGGGTCCTGGGATCGAGTCCTGCACTGGGCTCCCTGCTCAGAGGGGAGTCTGTCCCTCCCCCCTGTTCATGCACTCACTCTCTCTCTCAAATAAAATCTTTTAAAAAAATGTCTCTGACATCGGCTATAACATTTTTCTTTATGTCTCCTGAGGCAAGGAAAACAAAAGTAAAAACAAGCTACTGGAACTACATCAAAAGTTTCTGCACAGCAAAGGAAACAATCAACAGAACTAAATAAAAGACAACCTAGTGAATGGGAGAAGATATTTGCAAATGACCTATCTGATAAAGGGTTAGGATCCAAAACATATAAAGAACTGATACAACTCAATACCCAAAAAAACAAATAATCCAATTTAAAAATGGGCAGAAGACACGAATAGACATTTCTCCAAAGAACACATCCAGATGGCCACAGACACATAAAAATATGCTCAACATCACTCCTCACCAGGGAAATGGAAAGCAAAACTACAGTGAGATATCACCTCACACCTGTCAGAATGGCTAAAATTGGAAACAAAGAAACAAGTGTTGGCAAGGATGTGGAGAAAAAGGAACCCTCATGTACTGTTGGTGGGTATGCAAACTGGTGAAGCCACTGGGGAAGACAGTATAGGGAAGCGAGTTTAATTTTAAAAAATTAAAAATGGAACTACGCTATGGCCCAGTAATTGTACTACTGGGTATTTACCCAAAAAATACAAAAACATCCTGATGTTTATAGCAGCATTATTTATAATACCCAAACTATGGAAGCAACCCAAGTGTCCATTGCTAGATGAATGGACAAAGAAGATGTAAGATAAATATATAAGGGAATATTATTTAGCCGTAAAAAAGAATGAAATCTTGCCATTTGCAACAACATGGATAGAGCAAGAGAGTATAATGCTAAGCGAAATAAGTCAGAGAAAGACAAATACCATTATGATTTCATTCATATGTGGAATTTAAGAAACAAAACAAATGAGCAAAGAAAAAAAAGAGAGAGACAAACCAAGAACAGACTCTTAACTGTAGAGAACAAACTGATGGTTACCACAGGGGAGGTGGGTGGATGGATGGGGGAAATAGGGGACGGCGATTAAAGAGTACATTTATCATGATGAAAACAGTAAAATTAACAAAGGAAAAAGACTTCTAACAGGACCCTCATCTAGATAAAAGGAAATGCCAAAATACTGAAAAGATAAATTAAGAGTTCACTGTATTATAACTACCTAAGCCACTATGCAGGGCATTATTTGGCAACACAATCAGGAAACCAAAATAATAAATATTAAGTGATTAGTCAGAAAGTCACTTCTGAAGATATCCTTCAATATGCCCCAGATGTGCAGTTTAAAGAAGGATAATAAGTATAAACTGTGTCTTTTATCAAAAAGTAGATTAAAATAATCTAGCTCTGCCTAATCTGGAAAGTGAAAGAAAAAAAAAAAGAACACTTTTTAAATGGTTTTAACATGTGCTTGCCATATTTAAAAAAGACTAATGCTACAAAAGTCTAAAACCCCAAAATAAAACATTAAAAAACAAACAAAAACAAAAAAGAAGCCTGGTAGAGTTCAATAGATATTAATATTTCATTGAGCCATACTGGGATTTTCATTTTCTTGGTAAGGACTTCTACTCAATGTGAAAGTGGCATATCACTGTTATATCACCTCAAGCTTCTGAACATATTTTCCAAATAATACAGTGAAGTGCTCCTCCATTTGTTTTAAAAGTCACACTATTAAAAGGCTATTATCAGTAATCCCCACAAAAACCACCTTGTCTTATGATTTCCATGCACATCAATATCGCCTCTTCACGTTCTCCCCGAGCAAAGCGAATGTTGGCTTCACCCATGAGACCCCTCAGAGCTCTGGGAAGTTTACTTCGAGGCCTTTTCTCCTGTATAGAAAAAAAAAACAACAAAAAACATTTAGCTAAAATATAGTAATATTTTAGATTTCAATTCCAGCCAAATTAATAAATGCAGAAGATAATGAAAATGAAATTTCTTTTTAAAACTTCTGAATATTCTAAATTGAGAACTAAGGACTAAAAACTTCAATACTGACTCATTAACATTCAAGTCTGTATTTCAGGAAAAAGTCTAAAATTAATCTCAGGAAAGAAATTATTCTAAAATATTCTCCAAAAAGAAATACCTCAGAAAACTAAAAAACAAAAACAAACTTCCTACAGTAGGAAGTTCAAAGCACAGTAAAATATATGAAGAAAGCAAAAACCAATATGGTCAGGAATCACTAATTACTAATTAGAATAATAACAAATGTAGAACCTGATGCTGCAAAATAGACTTATGTGCCAGGAAACTTCTTATAATATAACCTACTGAAGATTCTCCTTCCTTCAAATTTATCTACTCAGAATAAACTTGATTAAAAAAATATCAAGTTACACTGGGGCGCCTGGATGTTTAAGTCAGTTAAGTGTCTAACTCTTGCTTTCGGCTCAGGTCATGATCTCAGGGTTGGTCATGAGATGGAGCCCTGTGTGGGGCTCCGTGCTCAGCAGCGAGTCCGCTT